ATATATATATATATAATCAGACATCTCTGAGCATGAGCAACAACTCTAGTTTTGTTTGTGTTTCACTTCTAATTGCTGTTGCTATATTTGTGTCACGATTGTGTACCCATACTTTATAGCAGGACATATATGAAGATATGTTTAACATGTTTTAAAGGTGTCTTTCCGTTGCCTTGACTTGACTCTTTTTTCTTTAACTTATTTAATTTTTTAGATATGCACATAGCTAATATCAGTTGAGCTCTAGCTTTAAGCCCTGAGTGTGGAAACTGTGACATCTCCCGATTCTCTGATCTGACAGCCTGGGTGCAGAATAAGAGGTTAAGAGTTCTGAAATATAAAGCAGAAAGATATTATGCAGCGATTTCCAAGAAATCAGTATGTCCTTAAATTAGATTCTGTCACAATTGGGTAGCCGGTTTAGTTCTGGAGTACTCTGTTCATGAGTGTTTATGGGTGGCGTTGCTGCCGTGCTTTGCACCAACTGTAAACTGGCAGCTGCAGCATAATTTAAGGCATCTATACACTCTATTTAATATACTTATATGCTTAGTTAAGTGAGTAGTGAATACTTTGAATTTCATTAAAGTGTTTTTTTAAAGTATTGAATAGAAGGGAAGTGAAGTCTACAAGTATTTTAAACATGCACTGTACTGCGATGTAGCAGAGGAAGGCCGATTTTGGCTCTATAGCTCAGCGACATATGGAAGAACAAATGTGAAAGCGTTTCCCTGAATATAAACTCTGAAAGAAGGAGAGCTCTAACTGGACTTTAACAATGTGGATGTCAGAAGAGAAGAAGGAGCGAGGCGATGCGGAGAGAATGAGAAACCAAAGACGGGAAAGTTCGATTTAAAGAGTGAAAACACTCTTTGGAGTTGACGGAGCAAGGGTTGGTGAGAAAGAGACAGGTGCACAGCTATGGGGAGAAAGAAAGCGAAGACAAAGGGAGTGGTGGGATGGCGGAGCTAGTCCTTCTGTTGCCGCGGCCTCCCTCTCCCTCTCCTCACTGGTCCTCTGGAGGTTTTCCAGAGAGCCCTGCTGTACTTAATAAAGGCCAGTCAAGCACCAGGCATTGCTCCAAGACCTGCTATTTTTCTCCACTTCCTTGAAACCCGGGCTAGAATTTTGAAAGCGAGGGTGTGGATAAAAGAAAGTGGGATGCAGAATCAAAACAGGGAATTTAAGATGCTTCACAGTTAGCTCAGTCTGCTGCAGTTATTGGATTTAGTCAAAATATAACATTCAAAAATGAGGGAAGGGGAGGGAAGAAAATAATCATTCAATGCTTCGTCTTTCATGTCTATTCCAAAATGATGGAGTGACTGTACTGTACGGAGGTTTGGCAGAGCACTTGTGGGTAATTTCAAAAAAAGTCTATTGCAGGATTTTCTGAGGCGCTGTAGGAGGCTCACTTAGTTACCATCATTCAGATATAATACTCGGGCCTTGTGGAAGGAGTAGCGGGAGAAATGTTTACAGAGGAGGTGTCAGAACTTGTCAGCTGAGCAAGTACTACATAGTCACCGAGTTTGCGAGTGCCTTTAGGCTGCTTTGCAAAAGGGAATGTGTGTGCTGCATGGAGAGAGAATAAACGAGTGAAACAGACATGCGAAAAGGGATAAAGGGAAAAGAGACAAGGGCTGTTATTCCTCTATGACCTTGGCTAAGGTTTCAGTCAGCCCGCGGTGTCTCATGACCCTGTTTGGATTCGGTACAGTAGCAGCGGCCTGCTTGAACCGGTTATGCTCCTCACCTCTACAAAGATGTAGATAAAGTTGATTATATATATATTTGTCTGTCTCCAGTTACAAAGAAAAGGATTATCAGAATGTAACCAGCACAGAGGCCAGAGTCCAAACACACTGGTTCATGTATCATGGATGCAAGGCATGAAGAACAACTACAGTGGACAGTTTTAGCATATTTTCAGTGCTAATGTCAATAGCGCAAAGAAAGTGTAGCCCACATTTCTTCAGGTTGTACCGAATAATTTTGATCCAGCGGGAATGCTAATATTACTAAACTGTATTTCTATAGCACCTTTTCAAACTGGAGTTAGGTGGCTGGCAAAAAAGAGAAACTACAAAATGAGAACATTTACACAAGATAGACCATAATGTGTTATACAAAAGCAGCGAAACAAAGTTTGATTTTTGAAACTGAAGGGCTGATTGAGCACTTTGAATGCTTTAAGTAGAGCCTTTAAGTCTTATCGACTTATCGTCGATACAGATATGTGGTGTTTTTAAATCACTAAGCATAAACAGATTTCCCAGTTATTTATGAGTCCTTGCTAAGATAATGTGAGAGTTCAGTTTGAAAATAATCTTGTTTTATTGCCACAACAAGACGTGGATGACTGTTGTATGCCCTTCCCGACTCTGCCCAGATCAGCTGATTGTTGGGTTTCTTGAAAACATTTGTTGCCAACAGGGAAGTTGCAGGGTGCAAATTATGCAACATCAACCCTCATAACATGGTTCAACTTTGTTTTTCCCATCTCTTTATCTAGCACAACACAA